GTTCCTCAACCTTGGCAACTTTAAGACATGTTCTTCAACTCCCAGAATTCCCCAGCCAGCCAGGGGAATTCTCGGAGTTGAAGAACATGTCTTAAAGTTGCCAAGGTTGAGGAACCCTGCAGTAGAGGGCCTGCGGCACTGCCTGGGGAGCAGGGAGACCCCGGCCCTGGCCCTTCCGAGGATGGAAGCCCCCCGGGTGCCCTTGGCCAGGTGCTCCCCTAGCAAATGGGGTCTGCCAGGATGGTCAGACAGGCACAAGGTCATGGCGGTGCGACTGAACCTCATTTTGCGCGTGGTTGCACCCTTGGGGCTGCCATCTGGACTTTCCAATGCCCCGTGCTCAGCCCCACGAGGAGCCAGCCGATAAGCAGAACTCCTCAGGGCTTCAGATTTGCTGCAAGAACTAGGCAGCGCATGGCCAAGATGAGCTGACCCTGCAACAATGCGGGACAGAGGCCGAGAAAACCAGCAAATATTACTTACTAGTTTATCAGCTGCTTCATTCAGCTGACTCTGAGCAATGTGCGAAAGCCTTAGCGCAGCCAGTGCAGCGAGAACACAAATGGGATGCAACCCGGTGCCCCCAGAGAGAAGGAAATTGGATTCACAGATAACGTCAAGCCATAATGGGGCTTCATTGATTTTGGCTCGGTGTTGAGGGAACCCAGGCATTTCTGGCTTATGTCAGAAGCAAACAGGTTGAGCGCAGGGGCTCCTTGGCTGGCACTTGAAAGAGCAGCGCCCCAGAACATGAATAAAATGGCTGCCAGACTGGGCCATGCCAGCCATACAGCCACTTGCCTCAGCTGGCCCCAGTTTTAGCAGTCTTTTCCCTCTTGCATTGGAGGAGGAGGAGGATGCTGACAGTTTTTATTGTCTCAGACCAGCGTGGTCCAATTGGTGACCTTCCAGGGTTGTGGACTTCAACTCCCAGCATTCCTAGGGCCATTGCTGGTTGGCTACGTAGGCATTTGGCCACAGCCCAGGGAAAGTGCCTGAGGCGTCTTGGAAATTGCTTCTTTGCCTTTTAAGCACCAGCTGGCAAGTGACCAGGATGTGCTGTCAGCTGCTGCCAGTCTTCACCAGCCAGCAATGGAGAATCCCTGGCTCAATGCTTGCTTTGGCCTTTTGGATTACAAAACAGAGAAATTCGCAGTGATCAGGAACAGAAAAGTTGGGATCTTGTACCGCCTGATCCAACTTGGAATCCTTGGCTACGTTTTGGGGTAAGGAAAGAGAGGGACATTGATGCTCTCCCGCAGAATCGCAAGTCATCTGCATTTCTAGGTCATTGCTCGTGCTCTGTGCATTGCAGTGGAAGTTAACAGCCGCATTGGCTGCAGGCACGGCACATCTTAGGACTTCTCCAGGTTGCTATTATAGAAAAAACGCTAACAAGAAGATCTGGAAATGTCAGGAATGCAGGACACTGATGATAGCTCTTGTAACATGATCCTGCACTACTTCTGGATGCTGACAGCACACTAGACTAGAATAAAAGGGGGTGGTTGATCTGTACTTCGGTGTGTTGTGTAGAGCTATCAGATCTGGGCTGCCAAAATGTAAATAATCACTAGAAGGCAGCAGAGGACATTGCTGCCATCTCGTGGTTGTTCACGTTTTGCAGCCCAGATCTAGCACCTAATACCGTTGAGCGATCCCACGGTTTTCTGTGCCTGTGGTGTGAATAAGGCCATCTTACTCAACCAGAAGAGGTTTTTATTTGAGCATAACCTATTGTGTGAATGCACCAATTACGTTTTGTTCACCCAGATTTAGGATTTAGTGTGTTGTGCAAACTCAACCCATACGTAATACTGTACATTGTCATATTTACTGTGTTAATACAACATACTACTTCAGAATGTGTCTTGCTTATTAGGGGGCTCATACGTTATGTTTATATATCATGTGAACCCAGATAATTCAGTAAAGCAAATTGAAGTTGCACCCTCCAGGATTCCTCTGATCACTGCCAGATAAGTTGGTGTGCAGGTGAGCACATATCAGGGATGTCTGGGGAGGGAGCGGGGGTGTCAAGGAAGTTAAGATGATGATCATGACTGTGTGATTGAAGCCCCACCCCTTTTTAATGCATGTTGCATGTAAGAAAAAGAGCAGAGCTCCCATTGTGCCATCATGGCCACCATCTTGACTTTTTGACCCTGTCCTACAGACACCCCAGCACATACTCATCATTTTTCTTTCCTAAGAAGACCTTGTAGACCAGAGGTATTCTTCTCAATGATGATGATGCTAGAGGTCAATGTTTTGCTTTGCAACAAATCTTCTTCCCTTCTTAAAAAATTAAAATTAGTCACAGGCAGCAAACTTGGAGGCCACCAAGGGAGATGTCCATGGACACAGCGGCACTCATGAGCACCATGCTGGGGAACCAGTGGTAGAAGCTTACTTAACATAGGATGTGGGAATGAGAGTTTATGCCAAAGTCTTCCGTTTCTGAAGTGAATTGCTGAAGTTACAAATATAACTTCAAACTTTATACAAATATTAAAAAAATAGCCACCACCAACACAATAATTTGACAACAGAACTACCATTTATTTATTTATTTATTTATCAAATTTGTCACTGCCCATCTCGTTAAAAAGCGACACTGGGCAGTTTACAGAGGAGATAAAATCAATTAAAATACAATATAATAACAATCTTAAATAATAAATAAATTCCAATAATTGGTGGAATTGGCAAGTAGCTCAGGGAGCGTCATCAGGGCACCAGCTATCCCCAGGACTGCTTAGAGCTCTTATCACCCCATGGAAGCTGGCAGAGCCAGGTCATGGCTTTTGAAAGTCATCACAGGCTCCACTCCACTGATTGTGTTCAAGGAGAGTCTAAATAGTTACGACTCTTTAATCTGGATGCCTCCACTCAATGGCATCATCGTCCTCTTCCAATTCTCTCATTCATTGTAAAGTGAACTTCAGAAGAGGCCAGTCTCTGAAAGGCATTCAGCATGATGAACATTTTGAGCAGAAGTTCCCCAGAGAAAGGGCCCTGCTCCTTTCAGTTGTTTTGAATGCCCTTGGGACTGTTCCAGGCTCCTAAACTAAATGGTCCCACTCCTCTGGGGACTCTGTTTCCTTGTGCATGTTGGCTGTTTCCATCTTCTGTTGCGTTACAGGTGGGTGCTTCTAGCCAAGAAGGGTTACCAGGAGAGGGACACTGATCCCCACATCTCTGTGATCACCAAGCTGAAAGGGATTTCAGTCACACACATTAAGGAACTAGGAGACAGACTATGGGATGTGGCAGATTACATGAAACCTCCACAGGTATGCTTCTCATTCCTGAAGACCTCAGATCAGGCCATAGAATAACAGGACCAGCAAATTGGTCCTAAGAGGACAAGCAGAAAAGTTGTCATAAGTGTCTTTACACAAACAGAATAAAGTGCAAATTATATCACAGGAAAAGAAGGAGGAGGCGGAGACCAACATGACCATGAAATGTGGCGTTCCAAAATGTGAAAAATTTGTAAGCCCACATCATGCTTATCCATGGTTAACAATCTTGGTTTATGGAATTATACAAATTAATCTGCATTTATACTACATGCTGAAACATCAGCTAAGCATACTAGGCTAAAATATGTTGTTTAATTGTTTTCCAAATCCACCTTTTGGTATAATTGTCCATTGTGTTCTTGAAAAAAAATTCTGTGAGGGGCTGATTCTCTTGAACTAGCAGTTGGATTCTGGTAGTATTTTCTTCTGGTTCATTGTCTTGTACATTTTAATTGCCCTTAATTGGTGTAAATTCTCTGTTGTATTAATTCCCTTTTAAATAGTATAGCAGGAAGGCAATTTTTTTAAAAAGGTGAATGCAGTTTAACAAAGACATCAGGCTGAGTGCCATATGGGAACCCCACCAGGGAGTAGGCCCATTGAAATCAGGGGAGATGAACTGACATTCCACTAGTTTCTAGAGATCTCATAATTATCTCTGCATCCATCCCAGAGATTTTGAGCCACGTGTTGAGCCAAGACCTAATCCTTGGCTCTGTCTTGTGAGCAACGTATTATAAAAAAACCCTAAAAGCATGTATTGTGAAACTTAGGGAGAAAATGTCTTCTTTGTGGTGACCAACTTCATTGCCACTCCAAAGCAAGTGGAAGGCTTATGCCCCGAGGTAAGTCACTGGCCACATCAACATAAAGATTCTGTTTCTTTCGTTTTAAATTTGTGTACCCGCCCCCCCCAAGGGTCATCAAGAAGGTGGATGGCTTTAGAAATGTAAGTTATAAATGAATGGATGAATAAATAAATAAGGCCACTGGGGCTTCTCTTGGTTTCTTGTCTTAGCTGACATTTTGCATTTTTTAGAAAAGTGTATTGTTTAAAAATGAAAGGTTGGCATGCTACAAGCCTGCATCATCTTTATTTCTAGGAATGCTTTTGGAGCCCCAAACCATTCTTAGAAAATACAAAGGACGGGACAGCGGCGGGGGGGGGGGGGGCAGTTTAAAAAAAGTCAAGATGGTGGACATGACGGTGTGACCAAAACAGAATCCCATGCCCCTTTCCATAATTTCCTTCCATGGGATCAACTGGCTGGCAGCTGCAACTCAGTGCCTTGTTTGGAAATGTGCCTGTGGTCCAGAAAAAAGGACATGTGTAACATGAGAAATTAGGAAAAATTCCTATGGAGATTAGAGCTGGGTGGCTAGAGGGGGCTGCATGATATTTGGATTAATCAGTACAGTGGTGGGCTGTGTCTCCCCATGGCAGCCCTTTCCTGAATGGCCAAGCCCCGAAAGCAGCCGTTCAGTGAGAGTGCCCAACACACATTCTCCAAATTCAAGATTTATGCGCTGGCCCCAGAGCCTGGGCATCCTGGCTGCCCATTCTCATCAGCTTCTCTCCCAGCTTCCTGGCACAAGCCTTGTTTGGACCTCTCCAAGAATGCTTAGAAAAGAACGGATGTTAGAGTCTTTGCGCTGGCGTTGTAAGAAAATCTTTATCTCATAGGAACTGGTCTTTTCCAGCTGTGGCCTTGTTTTGGTTTCAAATCACTCCATATATCCGTACGGTATGAACTAAATTCTGAAAATATGGAATATGTCCTCTCATGAGGAGCTTTGGCTCTCTTGAGCCTGGGGCACAGCCAAGAGGATAATTTTACGTAACCTGAAAAAAACTTACTCTCCTGATTTTAAGGAATAGGTCCAGGATGTGAGTTTGTTACTTATTTTTGAAAAGTCCCTGTGTTAGAAAAATGAGATGATGAAGGAATATGTCTATATGTTTATAACTTTAAATGTCTGAATTAACTGTATATGGTTATGGTATGGTTATCTGTAGTTATACTACATTTTTTCTGTTATTTTTCTTTTTTATCATTCTTAGTTTGTTTTAATCACACTAATATAATTGTTCCCGTTTTTGGTTGGTGTTTTAATGCTTTTTTATTTCACTATTAGAAATTTAAAAAAAACAATCTGGCCGTGTCTCTTTCTGTCACTCATGGCAGCCTCTTTATCAGACAGGATAAAGTGTTTGTTTATATTTTCACAACTGCTCAAATGGTATAGAAAAAAACCCCAAATGTCAATAGCAGTTTTAAGAAGGGATCCGCCTGTGTGAGTACAAAACTCACAGGAGTTCCTTGTCTCTGTCTTCCGCAGCACCCCTCTATCCTTGATGGAAATTGCAGGCAAGATTTGGACTGTTTTGCAGGACAGCCCGTTGTCCATGGAAATGGTAATCCCACTCATGCCGGTTCTGGGACCAATGTGCCCTCTGCTCCATCTTGCAGCTCCTTTCCTCTTCAGGACATTGTACCGGGCGGGGGGGTCCTCAGACCACCAAGGCCTTGAACCAGAGATGCCAAGACTTTGAATGCAGGAGGTTCTCTGTGCGCAACAGCTGCTTGACCGCCCTGCTCTCTTCTCCGATTCTTTCTTTGTTGCAAAACCTCTCCCAAAGAATCGGTAGCCTCCCGTTGGACATCCAACAGGACAGGGTATAAAACTCAGAGAAATGTGTACCTGAGAATTCTTTCTCTCCTGCAGGTATAAAAACTGGGAAGTGTGTCCAATTTAATGCCTCTCATAGCAGCTGTGAGATCTACGGGTGGTGTCCAGTGGAAAATGGAGCCTTGCCTAGGTACTAAAGTTGTCCTTGTTTCTGGTTCACCACCATCATCACTAGAGCAGCCTTTCCTAACCTCAGCCCTTCAGGCCTGTAGGACTACAATTCCCAGAATCTGAGGCTAGAACTTCCAGGGATTGTAGTCTGTCTATCGTATTTGGAGGAAGTATCTAGCCAACAGTGGCTGCTTTGCCCTTCCCCATCCCACGTGGGGAGCTGGTAGGACTTTATTTTCTTATATTTTTTCCAGGTGTGCTGCTACCTGTTTCTTTTGTGGGCTACATCTTGGCTGATAGAACACAGTTTGGTCTTAATACACATGACACCTCTATTCACTTCCTCCACAACCATGCAACCAAAATTATAAAGAGGCCAAGCAGACGATAGTTGTGAAGAAAGAGGAAGGTACTTTTCAACAGCCATCACTCTGCACTCTCTGGATCCGCTGTCTTGTCTGGCTGAAGGGCTGTGCAGGTTTTCCGGCTATACAAAACCCTCCAAAATTGATTTGACCAGGGGCAAAACAAAGTTGTGCATTTACACCATTAAGAACCATTCCATTTTAATCTGCCTTCAAAAACGTTTTCCTGTCTGCAGGACAGAAGTCCATCCCAGAGCATCCGTGGGGGGCGGGGAGGGGCGTTCAGAGAGGCCAAGATGGCAGCCACAATCGGGCCATCGAAGCCCTGACACGTTTTTATGCAAGTTGGGGGTCAGGGCTTCAGTTGCCCAGATGTGGCTGTCTTCTTGACTTTTTTTTTACATCCACCCCTCCCCGCCAGACAACCCTGAGCCTATCAGATATCTGTCACCAACTCACCAACTCCACCCAGAAAGATTGTTTTCTCCGGTGCAGTGTGGCTGGCTGGGGAATTCTGGGAATTGAAGTCCGCATGTCTTAAAGTTGCCAAGGTCAAGAAACACTCCACTGGTAGGAATAGCTTAACCCCACCCAAAGGATGTAAAAGTAGCCATTTGTTCCATTTTTGCAGTGAACACCTTCATTCGCGCCCCCCTTCTTCTTTCTCCACCCAGGAAACCGCTTCTGGCCGAAGCAGGGAATTTCACTCTCTTCATTAAAATCACCATCCACTTTGCCAAGTTTAACCTCTCCAGGTAAGGGCCGAAACCTTCAACTGGCGTGGACGGGCAGGGGCAGCCGCCGTGCCTCTAAGCCATGGTGGGGTCTCCCTGCTGTGCCTTTTTCCTGCCAAATCCCGCCTGGCGATGAGCTGCAGCTGCACGAGGCAGAGGGGGGAAAAGTGGCCCCCAAAGCCTTCGGAAATGAGGGGAGAGGAAACAGCCCAGCCCTCCCTGTGGCGATGGCCAGGCCCCCAGCAGCAGAGAGCGACCCCGAAAGTCTGGTTTACAGTAGCTCTCTCCGTAGATGGAAAGTTAGAAGACAGTATCTGGGGAGCCGGGTAAGCCCAAACCTCTCACAAATTCACGAGGCAGGGTCCTTGAGAGCCCCTCCAGCCTCTTTTCCAAGACTGCAAGAAGGAAGGGCTCACTGTCCTTCTCCCTGAGATCCCGAAAGGTCCATTTGCTTGTCAGCAATACTCTTTTGAGATACCACCACTGCTTTCTCACCCCAGAGATCTCTCCTCCAGCCATGCCTCTGCACTGCTTTTGCAAAACTTCAGCCGCTCCCGTGGTTCCCTTTAGGACCAACGTTTTAAAGACAACGGATGATGCCTACTTCAAGGGGTGCCGGTACAGTGACCGTGAAAGCCCTTATTGCCCTGTCTTCCGCCTTCAGGACATGGTCAGCGCAGCTGGAGGGAGATTTGACGAGCTGGCGACCTCGGTAGGTTCTCCTCCTGAGTCAATCGGCCACCTTCTTAGCTGCCTGTCCCAAAGTTGGGTAGGTGCTTTGGGGAGGCAAAAGGCTCTCCCCATTCCCGGAAAGCAAAGTTAACCCACCAGTTTTTGCCGTAGGAAATGAGCAGAGGCTTAGAGCCTCCAGAGCAGAAGCAAAGGGCTTTTCACTTCAAAACCTCTTTGTGGCATGCCCACAGCTCCATTCTGCACTGCTGATTAACTCCACCTTAGTGGGGCAGGAATTGATTGCAGGGTGCATTAGCCTCCAATGGCTTGGGTGCCCTAAACATCCACTTGCTGGGTTACCAGGTAATAGTTCAGAAAAATCAGCAAACTCCAGTCAAGCTTGACTCCTGGAGATTTCAAGGCTGTTTCCCTGTAGTTTTCTTGGTAAGAGTACAAAAATTGTTTGCCTTCTGAAACGTTACTTGACTTCAGAGTCTAGCTGGTAGCCCCGAGTTTCCAAATAATACCTGGCTTACGCTTCAGGCTAAATCCCTGTGAAACGAACTGGGTCACGGGTCAGCCAGGGCTGCTGTATCTGAGCTAAGAAAATCAAGGTGGCCACTAGATGGCAGCAGCAGGATAGAGTTTTCGGTGCCATCTAGGGCACATCTGGATTTTTTGCAGCCTGGATCAGGCTGGCTTCGCACAATGTGTGAATCAGGTCTGGGTTTAAATTAGGTGCCCCTTAAGAAAGGTTATACGCATGCACCCATACTCATGCACAGTGGTGAATTCACACATCACGTTAGACCATGGTATGTTTTATCTTGTTTTGTTTAATTTTAGCTGTGCTAAATTTAGCGATACGTTATTGGATAAATAAGCAAACGGTAGCTTAGTGAGGCCGTGCCTGCATGTGCTTTCTGTCCTCTTCGTGCGTGTGCATGCACACATTGGAAAAGAGGGCAGCAGTTTGGCTTGGGCTTCTGCAAAAAGGGTGGGCAGAGTCCGGCCATTTGGGGAGGCAAAGTGAGAGAACCAGGGAGGGGGGAGTTGTTAGAAGGCCTTTGGTGTGCTGGGCAGCGCCTCTGTCTCTGCAAGTCTGAGATGAGGGGCTGTTCCGCTGCCGCTAAAAGACTGCCTGCTATTCCTTACAACTGTCTTCTGCTTTGTCTTTGCCAATAGAGTAGGTGCTAAAACCAGCCCTGCAGGCTTTCCATCCCAACTAAGATGAAGCCCCTTGAGATGCCTCGCTGCTTGGGGCATGGGGGGCTTGCAGCCCGTTTCCTGCACTCAGTCTGTGGTGCTCGTTGCTAACAGGCCCCGTGCCCTTTTTCTCCTGGTGCTGCTGCCCTTGTGGGGGATTTCCTGGGTCCTGTACAGGGGGGAGCCCTTGGCCTGCAGGTCGGCTGGGACTGCAACTTCGACCGGCCTCCATCAGAATGCCAGCCTCGCTACTCCTTCCGCCTCCTGGAGAAGGCGTTCAATTTCAGGTGGGAGACTCAGCAGGGCCGCGGCGGGGGGCGGGGGCGGCAACGAACAGATGGCCAACACAGTGGGAAATACCATGGGCGGCCTGGAAGCCGTAAAGGCAGGCCAGGCCTCCAGATGTGCCAGACTCAGATCAGCCTCTCTTTGCCTGAACTGCGGGCAAGGGCAGGAAGCAAGATCCAGAAGTGTCCCTGAGCAGTTCAAAATGTGTTTTTCTCACCAACCGTTTCTGCAGATTGGAAACAGGAAAAAGGGCACAGTCTCTTTGGAGGGTGCTGGTGCCTGATACTGTAAATGCAAGCTTGGCACCTCCTTCTTCTAGACTTGAGGGTGAAAAAGAAGATTTTCTTTTACTCTTTAATATCTGGCTTAGATATACTTTAAAAGTTTAAATCAATCAACCCTAACCTTTTGGTAACCCGTTGCAATATTTACTTTTTCTCATAGCATTTGCTGCTTTTGTTAGCCGCAGATCACCCCATTACACAGAACACAGTGACCTCAGTGTCCCCACTCCTCTCTCTTGTTCAGGCATTCTTTGGACCACTGAGATTTCACCATGGATTGCTCACAGGCTTCCAGCCCCATCTTGGGAGTCATAAGGACCAAGCACTTGCTTCCCCCCCCCCCCGTTTTAAAACGAAAGCTGACCTTCTCAGAAAGCTGACTCTGGGGTGCAATCTCCTAGGACCTTTTTCTGTAAAAGGAACAAGGCTGGTATGTCCTTGTCAATTGGACATGGCTGCTTCCTACTCTGATGCCATAATTGTACCCTGGCTCGGCTGTGAGGCCCTGCCACCGGCAAAGGCCAGACTGGCAGGACCAAGCAGCAGACTGACCACCCTGGCACAGGGGGCTGACTGGGGAGGGGGTCTGTTTCCAGACTTTTGCAAGCTTCTTTTTCGTTCCTCTGGTGGGTCTTCTTCTTCTGCATGCAGAACTGCCACCTATTATCAGGATCCGGTGCATGGCCTCTCCAGGAGCTTGCTGAAACTCTATGGCATCCGTTTTGACATTTTGGTCCGGGGCCAGGTAAGGAAGGCACTGCGTGGTTCTGGTCCCCAGAGGATTCCCATTGCCAGAGCTGGGAGGCACCTGATTCTTTCCCCATAGGCATTAAAGTGTTAATCCTACTCCGTTTCTTCCCACCTTGCTCCCAGGAGGTGGCTCCCACGAAGGCACCCTGCCTCTCTCAACTTGCCTGGCGTCCCTCTGTTTCCCCTCAGTCTCGCCTAGGTTCTTCCCAGCTTTTACGGCCCTCGCTCTTCTGTCGCTTCTCTTGCAGCAAAGACAGGAACGCAGATGAAGATCCAAGCGCACACAAGGGCCAGAGACACAAACCAAGGATGTCCTTACACATTTAATTCCTGGCACTTTGCCTGCTCATCTTTGATGAGGAGGAAAAAGAGGCAAGGAGCTTGTAGTTGGGGAGCTGAGCTACCTGCCTCCTAAATTTCTCCCCCCACCCCTGATTTTTTGGTTGAAAGCTATGGCCTGGGCTGGCTCAAGCAAGCAGCCCCCAAGACTTTGGCTCTAACAGCCTAGGATTGGCAGCATAGCGGCAAGAGATGCAGCGTCACGTGCAGATCACTCGGCTGTCTCCAGGTGTTGTGGGTCTCATCTTTTGCTCCTGGATGAAAGGAGGATTTCAATCAAACAAAGATCCCCATCCGGTGGAGAGCTTTTTCTGCTCTGGCCCCACTTCTGAGGAACAGACTCCCTTGAAGTTTGAAAAAGCACTAAAGCCCTCCTTTTTCATGGGCCCCTGTGAAGTTGCTTTAAAAAACAGTAATTCTTGCTTGTCTTTTTCAATGGGTAGAGGCTATATATTATGGTGCTATGATTAATTCTAATGTACTACTGCACTGTTATTTTATTCTAGGTCTGTACTGTGATTAGTTATATTCACATAATAAATAAAAGTGCTATGACTACCTCACAACTATGACAAGTTGTGAGATGAGCCACAGCTCCACCCTGACTTTGTGTGCAGAAGCTCCCCTTTTGATCTGCTGTAGCATTTCCAGATGGAACTAGGAAATTTCCAGGCCCCAAACCTAGAAAATCCATATCAGCTTAATATTGACCCACCTTCCTTGACCCGGTGCTTTCCCTCGTAGCCAACGCTGGTCTGGTTGGTTTATAGGAGTCCAACAGGTCACGGTCCTTCGGGTGCTTGAGAAGGGTGATCGTACCCACCACCTCAGCCAAGCGTGCCCAGTTCCAGCAGTCTCTCCCAGGGTTTCTCCTGCCCATTCTCATTATCCTTCTGTGCCCTGTCTTTTGTCGAATCTTTCAGAAAAGACAGGATACATGCAACATACTAAGCTAGACTTACTGAGATTGTGTAGTTCTTGGGTCAGTGTGCTGTGGGAACTTAGCTCTTTTCTTAGCGTGTTATGTGGACCAGACTGTAATGTTAAGCCATAATTACGGTTTATTTGCTTAGCCTAGTATGACATTTAAATGCAGGAACTGCATTTGGTTAATCCAAATGCAAGGTTTAATGCTTCTTGAACCGAGAAACCGTGTCACTCCCAAATGCGACAAAACATGCTAAGTGACCAATGCAGAACCAAACAGCTGACTTTCCATGCTTTGGAAGCAACTGTCTTACTGATGTCACCTTTCTTTGCAGCCACATTTCTATAACGTGGACACTTCTCAAGTACTTGTTTCTCTTCCTCCGTTTTCTTACTCAGGCAGGAAAATTTGGCCTCATACCCACAACTGTCAACTTGGGTGCAGGGATTGCGTTCCTTGGAGCAGTAAGTATGCCCACCTAAACCTCTTGCCCCCAATGGCAGCACAAGCACGCTCAACAACGTGCCCACAATGTTGCCTTTATCTCTCCCAACCCATAATTTTCTCCTCCCTTGCTCCAAAACAGGCTGAAGGCAGCCTCTGAGCACGACATCTATCTAGCTTTGTTCTCTGTTGCCTTGGAAGGGGTCAAGGGGCAGAGAACAGAGGTAATGGGGCAGATGATGCCACGCTGAGATGGGGAGAGGTCTCTGCTGGCTGTGCCCCCAAGATGGAGGCAGGAACTCTGCTGGCTGTGCCCCCAAGATGGAGGCAGGAAGTCTCCCTCCTCATGTGGACCTTCAGCTTTGCTCCCCCAGGCATCTTCCGAGAGCATCCAGGCTACATGAGGACCACGTGGACAACCTTCTGGGGGCTCCATCCCCAGAGTGTCTCCCGCCATTCCACGGGCTGCTGCTCTTTCTCTGCCCCTCAGCACACC